AATTGAATATATTGTATCAGGGAAATTGTGTGATTAAGTTCAATTGAATGTGATATAGAGATAACTTATTAAGGCGTCAAGACTATCAAATAATATTATTTACACTACGTTTAACGGGTTTATGCATACACACACACATCTATATATATATATATATATATATATATATATATATATATATATATATATATATATATATATATATATATATATATATATATAAAAGATGGAGCGAGAGTTATAGGAATGTTTTATTTTCCAAACACGGCCAGGCTAAAAATTTAGGAAGCATCATTAATTAAAAAAGCTAACACTCAATAATATCAAGTACACGGCCACGATGTGCTGACTCTTTGCAAATAATATTTTCCTCTACAATTAGATCCATACATATATATATATATATATATATATATATATATATATATATATATATATATATATATATATATATATATATATATAACCATACATTCAGTTAAAATAATAAATTAAATTCATGCTTGATAATGGTTAAAAAGTTTACAAGAAAGCGCTGACATACATAAAACCTTTGGAGATTTTTATATAATTTACAACCGGAAAATAAAATAAGATCACTTGAAAAATTAGATAAAATCACAAACAAAGTACCGTGTCCACCGGTTTTTACTGAAACTTTCAAAAAAAAAAACGGGCTGTTTCCCCAAATGATAAATGTTATATATATATATATATATATATATATATATATATATATATATATATATCGCGCGATATATAGGAATAAAGTGTCGCGGCCGACACTTGAGCTTGAAAACAGATCGCCAGTAATCAAACAAAAACGACCACATGACCAAAGGAACAGACATATATAGTCTAGATTGATCTGTATTTCTATTCTATTTTCTATTCTATTTTCTATTCTATTTTCTATTCTATTTTCTATTACTATACTCTATTCTCTACTCTATTCACTCTATTATATACTCTTTCTCTTTTTTGGTAAATATACAGGTTACTATTCGATTACTTCCCGAGTAATTAATATACGAGCAAGTACTATAAGTACAAGTGATATTCGAAGGCGTCTGACGCCAGCATTGTTCAACGATGTAGTACAAGTATAGGATTGGTCTATCTATAATAAATTCAAATAAAATATCCTATTCTTAATTCCAATAAAAAAAGTACTATTCTTATGTTGAGGGGTTCTCCCCTTTTTACACAAATGGACTCAGCCAGTATATACATATACTACGGCTACATGAAGACGAGAGTAAGAGAGAGCAAGACCGTCGAGTCGAGTCGAGAGTGACAGAGTAAAAGGTTATAGGTAACCGGAAGAGTGAGGGTGAGGTAACAGCGTTGTAGGAGTCACAGTGAGCGAGCACGTACACTCCGTAAGTAGTCATACAGCGATACTTCAATACTAAAGAATGAATATATATTTTGCTACTAACACGTATTCCTGGAACTACTAACCAGCATTACCAGTTTGTATTATTACGTTAGTACATTATTTTCCTATATTCATTCTTGGCGTTTGTTATTTATTGGTACCGGATTTCCTCCCGGAATCCACAACATCTTAAAAGAGCTCTCAATACAGAGTAGAGCAAATATAAGTATTTATTCGAAAATTATACATAAATATGTTATAAAATCACTACAAAAATAGCCATTTTGTTTCAATACTTCTGATGTGTTATCAAGTGATGGTGTTGAATGTAGAACAAAATAGTCTAAAAGGTTCAAATAAATCAAACACCCCTCACTAGGGGAAGCGATGTTGCATAAGCTGGAATGACCAATCAAAATACAAGTATATGAGAATTTGAAAAACCTGACAACGAAACTTGTTTATAATAATTAATTAATATTTTAATGTTAGGGTTAGACTAAAATAGAATTCATTCTAACTAATTAATATAAAATTTTACAATAAAATTGAAAATTCAAAATTACCAATTTTAAGTTTTAAATTTAATCTGTATTAAATTTTAAAAAAATTATAAAATTATTTAAAGAAAAAACTGAGGAAAATACACATGTTTTGTTATTAATTTTGTTTTATCTTCATTCATCTTGTCCTTTTTAGAGATATGTGATTTAGTTATATCTGAAATTTTAAATCTCTCTCTCTCTCTCTCTCTCTCTCTCTCTCTCTCTCTATATATATATATATATATATATATATATATATATATATATATTCTGGTGATTTGATTGCTAAAATTCATTCAAGTGAATGTTTCATTACGACAACTGTTTATTTATTTTATTTAATTTTTTAAAATTTTCTTGAAAATTCCGATAAAGAGTGGGGGAAAATGTGTGAAAAGTTCATGTTTCTTGATATGTATGATAAAGGTCGAAAGTATTCGAACACTAAATAAAGGAAGAAAGACATAAATTTTAGAAAAGTAATTTCTCCAAGGTAAATGATACCAAATCGGTTGATTTTCGGTCCCGGCTTGAAGCGATAGGGTGTTTAAATACACTGATGAGCTGTAATACA